ACACACACACACACACACACACACACACACACACACACACACACACATCTCTGGAAAAAAACAACATCTGTTCACCTAAGGCCAGCCTTGTGGTTTTTCTCCATGGCTGTGGCTGAATGAGGTGTTTGGAGTACCTGTGTTTTCCTTGTCACATCACGGTAGAATATAGGAAGCAGAACCAAAGAACCTTTTACCACAACTGATTCTCTCAGGTTTGTATGTGTATGCTTTATGACAGAAAACAGGCAAATTTAAAAGATTAATTTTTTTACATTTAGTCAAAGTAAGGGTTACTTTACAGACAGATCAAGAAACAGACTACACAAGCCACAGAAGAACATTTTCAACTTTAAGATTTAGGTTTTAGGGTTGGATGTTTCTAGAAGATATCAGAACATAGAGCTACTGTAAGGTGTAGCTTAAGGTAAGGGTTTCTGCTTCATAGGATAGTTATGAGCAAAGTTTACCCAACACTCCCCTCTACCAAATAAAAGCAAAGGCTAATGCCTGCCAATGTCTCAGATGCAGAACACTTAGTTTTAAAAGGTTTTGTTTACTTTTGTTTTGTTTGTTTGTTTTATATTTTTGCTTTAGAAATAGGATCTCCCTATGTCTTTGAATCAAGCTCTGATTCTCATGCCTCAGATTTCCAGGCAATGGAATTACAGGCATTGATTTCTGTTCTCTGATTATAATTTTCAGTTTCCTATCACAATCTGTTTTCTATTTCACCATGATATCCTCTCATTCCCATCACCTTGGGCTAGCAGCTTGAGGATGAGGTCTTTGTGTGGACACCAGGAATGAGATTTTAGGTCAGTCTGAGGGATTAGCCTCAAAGCTTCTCCCTTGGGACACTTAGGATCAGGGCTCTGGATTCTGTTGTCATTAGATAGGGGACAAAGAAAGATGATGCGACCATTGGTGGAGAGATGGGCCTGTTGTGCATTCAATCATTACCATATTTCTTTATGATGCAATACTTTATCTAAATGGCTCATTCTTTGGGCCAATTTAAAATTGTTCTAATTATTTCCTAATGCCACATTATGATTTAATTGATGATTTCTTTTTTTTTTTTTTTTTTTTTAGCCATTAAAGGCTGGTTCATCTCTTTCAAATATCTTAAGCCCCAGAACACTTTCCTTTTTGTATTGAGGTTAGCATTCACGTGAAAGCGATGGATTTTCAGTTACTTTTAGCTTGAAGATACCATCTCTGTCTCTTTCCTTAAGGTAACAAAGATCACTGGCTTTGGACCAAGCCTTTATTGTTTGAGTTTCTACAGTTAGTGCTGAGTGAAGCATAATGGTGCAATCCTACACTACCAACACTCAGAAAGCTTAGGTAGAAGGAACCATTACGTTGGAGGCCAGCCTTCCTCTAAGCAAGCAATCAAGTTCTCTGAAGATAAGATAGACTGGTTATCTGCAATTTTTATTTTTTTCTTTTATTGAAAATAGTCTTTTTTTTTTTATATACAATATATCCTGGTTATGGCCTCTCCTCCCACTTCCTCCATACCTTCTCTCTCATCCATATTGATTCCTTTTCTGTTTCTCATTAGGGCATTTGGGAAATAATAATAACATGTAATAAGATAAAATAAAACCAAACACATTGAAATAGGACAAAGCAAACAAACAGAAGAAAGGGAGCCCAGGAAAAGGCACAAAAAAAAACAGATATAGACACAGATACCCACTTGATTGCACAATCAGGAATCCCATAAAAGCAGAATACCAGAAGCCATAGTATATACCTAAAAGTCCCAGGTGTAGTGGCTCACAGCTTTGATCCCACCACCGAGAAAACAGAAGCAGACAGATCTCTGTGAGTTCAAGGCCAGTCTGATCTACACATTGAGTTAGAAGATATTAAGAGCTACATGGTAACCTGTCTTGAAACAAACAAATAAAAAAAAAAATAACTCAAACCAAAAAATATATGTAAAGGATGTATAGAATTCAAAAACAAGAAAAAAATACGGGAATTTAGAAATAATGATCAGTAAGTAGCTGTAAGTTGTTTTTTGTTTGTTTGGTTTGGTTTTATTCCCCCTTAAAAACTGCCAGCTTTCTAACTTCTCATAGGAAGACAATGTCTTTGGAACTATACACGTATAGCTAAGTTTTGTCTGCAATAGATTGTTGTTTCCAGACTACCATTTTTAAAGAGCTCAACAGCTGAACTAAAATATATAGAGGAGACATGGATGGTATAATCCCAAAAGGCAGAGGCCGTTCCTGCTTCAGCATTCTTTGGTTTCAGCTGTTAGCCAAAGATGATTTAGATTTTAATGGCAGGAGCAAGAAATGCTTTTAATGCAAATTCCTGACATTGCACATCTCCCTTTGAAGAACAAGTGGGCATTCTTGCAAACTACCAGGCTTTCCTCAGCCCAGCAGCTGTAAGTAGACACAAAAGGCAAGGCCAAATGACTTTGATGTCACACTTAAGTTTCATTCAAGGGAAGTCATAAGACAAAACCATACAATTCTCCCAGAAGTGTTATTTCCTTTGTACTTTTCAATGTTTCCTGATTCACTGCAATAAGCAAATATTTCTATAATAGGGGGAAGGTTAATTTAGATCGACAGTTTTATACTTACCATAGCAAGAGAAAAACCGACCATGTATAAAAATGTCACAATAAAACTCATTATTTTGTACAGCCAAATGTTAAGAGAGGAAATAAAGATGATCATGGTATGTGAGCACTGGCTATTTTCATTAAGTAATATATATGATAGAAGAAGCTTGAAGGAATTTTTTAACTCACCGTGGACAAATGATGACTTGCGAAATGAATAGCCTCGTTCAAATTCCATGTATGCTAGTTACCATGCCCATAAACTCATTGTTATCTCTCCCATCTATTCCTTCTTATTTTTACACACACACACACACACACACACACACACACACACACACACACACCCCTATAGTAGCTTCCAAAGGCAGTCAAGAACACATTAAAGAGTGGAAGAGAAAGAAAATGAAAACCAGAGATAGCTCTGTGCAATAGACACCCACCTTAGTTTGTGTTAATAGCTGGGTCATATATGTTGCTTTCAGAAGCCACAGACTGAAAACAAGCCCCTTTGTTTGTTGAGTGCGATGATGCTTGGTATGAGAGTCAGACAAGAAGCATTCATTCTAAGAGAAGATCATGTCCCTGAGGTGGGCATCCGTAACAATGTCCTTACAACAGAGGGAATGACCCATTTCTTACTGAGTCCCTGAATATAAACTAGTGATATCATATCAAAAGGCAGGCCCTGTATGCCACCAAGCTGAATTTGTGGGTTGAGTGCTTGCCACCAAGCCTTAAAACTTGACTTTGATCCCCAGGATCCAGATGATGAAAGGAAGGACTTGACACCCACAAATTGTCTCTGACTTCCACATTTATACCGTAGTTGGCCCGTATACTTCCATACCACACATACAATGACTAAACTGAAGTATTAATTTAGAAAAGGAATTCTCAAGAAAACAGTTCTCTATTGAAAAGGATGGATGGAAGGAAGAAAAGAAGGAAGGAGAACAGGTCTATGGAATGAGCCCTGCAGCTGGCAGTGTGTTAGGCTTCAGTGCAACTTAACCTAGTTGACTGAGCACACACAGAATGTCTCGAAACAGACCTAGTCTCTAAGAAGTGCTCTATACACAGCTATAATTTGCCTTGCTGGTACCACTCTCTTGTGTTTGAGGTGTGTCTTTTCTTTGACAGGGAGGGTCAAATAATGCCGGTGAATGGAATCAGCCCACAGCTCACCCCCTATACGTGGCCGTGACTGCTTCTGTTAGCAGAAACTGTTGGGTGAAGCTTAGCTTGGACATTGCCATGTTTGGGCCATCCAGGAAAAGTGGGCTTGCTCCAGGTAACACTTGAAAAACCAAAACTCCATAAATAGTCTCACTGCTAATATGTGGAGCAAGCCAAATCTGAGCTAAGAGGGACACCTTCCAAGAAGGAATCCACAAGGGTGAGTACTTGATGCTTGAAGGGCACTTTCCTTTTAAGGACTTAAGAAATCCTTTCTGGTTTCCCTGCCTTCTACCAGGGCATAGGCTGGCAGAAAAATGAATCCTGAGATAATTAAGGCCTAGTGACTCTAGAATCTATTGGCATCTCCATCAGTGCCTGCCTCCCCTTTCTACCTGGTCTTGTCCTCTTTTCTGACTCTTTTTAGATGGCTCATTACAACTGGTCTTATCATGTCAGAAGGTAGACATGCCTTCTGGAATCTCGGAATCTGCCAAGAACAGATTTGGGGCTAAAAAAAAAACCCTCCCTGCTAGGTTAATCTCTTTGGTGGCTGCACACACACAAAAAGTAAGCCATAAAGATTAGCTAGCCATGCCTGACGTGTGGGAGACTACACCTTGCAATCACATCACCTTTTTAAATGAAAATTGACACTGAGCTCCAGCCTGAGGGCAAGAGGATGAAAAAGTGTGTAAAGAGATAAAATAAAATTGCCTAGGAAGGCTCTTCCCTTACCCTACTTAGGTCTGGAGCAAGCCTCTCCCAGGCTCCTCTCAGGCACATGGAATACAGGAGGGACCAGAGGGGCAGGCGGGCTTGTGGGGAGGAATTAAGTGTGGCTTGTTCTGTTTCTGGCTTCTCTGTAAATACTACGACACCTCCAAATGGAGGAACAGCTGAGATAAGTGACTGCTAATCCCCCAACGCAGGGGTGGAGGCTGGGCGGTTCTCTTTCAGATCCCAGCAGATGGTGGATGAAACCGGCTTCCCCCAGGCAAGGA